GGAACAGCTACCATAGGCCAGCACTTTCATAGCTGCTTTCCCAGTTAATCCTCCTAGCATTCCAGCCTGGAGACAGCTCCATGTTACTTATAAGCCAGCTGAGGCTCAGAGAGGCCAAGTGACTTTCCCAGGGCACATAGCCAGGGAGCGTCGCAGTTGGCGCTTAAAGCCCAAGAGGCTAGGCTCTCTTCTCTGCCTCATAGGGCACCTACCACATGTCAGGCGTTAATTCTGGGAAACTAAGTCTGACAGGGTCTCTGAGAGACAAGCTAGCTGAAGAGGCCAGAAGGACTGTTAGTGCTGTTTACAATGTGATGCATGAAAGGAAGGGCACGGGGCACAGGCAAGCCGAGGCAGGAGGAGAGGACTGAGGGTCTCTCTGAGTTAGGAGTCCAGGAAAGCTTCCTGGGCTATAAAAGCCTTGGGTGATGGGGAAGAGCCCCAGGGCCCAGACTTGCTCTCACCTTAGTAATGATACAGGGGCAGATTTGGAGGTCAGTGAGTACACTCATTTGGGAGCCGAGCTGACTGTGAGCTCCCTGAGGGCAGGGCAGGTCTTCGTTATGTGTGTGGCCTCAGCATGTAGCACAGACAGACGGAGCCTGGATGAGTTTATGGGTTAGAGCTTATGGGTAGAGCAGGGAGGACCTTGAGTGCTACAAGTCATGGCTGCTGTCCCGGAGCAGGGTTGTGACCTGACAGTAGTGCTTTGGGAAAACCGTGAGCTTGCAAAGAGACTAGAGCAGGGGCGGAGTCCACGGCCGGGAAGGGAGTGAGATGGCCTTCAAGGCTGTCGCAACCCTGTGCTTTTAGGTCAAGGGAAGAGAATCAGAAGGAAGGAGGGTAAGAGTGAAGGAAAAGGGAAGAGAAGCCAGCGAACTCAGGGAGAAGTTTGTAACCAAAGGCCATTTATTTGAGGGGAGTTGCGCTTATTTTTTTTTTTGTCTTTTTGTTTTTTTCCTTTTTGTGGAGAACGGCGTCTTGCTCCATTGCCCAGGCAGGTCTCAACTCCTGGGCTCAAGCTATCCTGCCTCTGCCTCCCTAAGAGCTGGGATCACAGGCCTGAGCCACAGCACCCGATGGCCCAAGGCCATTTCTTAGATCAGGAGTGGGTGGGGACAAGGAGGAGGGACAGGTCAGAATTGCTGCTGTCCTGCCTGGGGCTGGAGAGAGGGTACCCCAGGAGCAAGATGGCAGATGGGTCTGGCCTGGCCCTGCCAGAGCGGGGTCATTTGGCAGTTTTTTCTTGTTGCTCCCCAAGAAAACCCCTGCGGAGTCGAGGGAGCACAACCGGGACTGCATCCTCCTCGACTTCTTCGATGACCACGACATCTGGCACTTCCTCTCCTCCATTGCCATGTTTGGGTCCTTCCTGGTACGTGGGTCTCCCGGCCGAGCCGGGTGGGTGGTGTGGAGGTGGCAGCTGCCTCCTTCTCCGCGGCTGATCTGGCGCTCACCCCCTCAGGTGTTGCTGACGCTGGATGATGACCTGGACACCGTGCGGCGGGACAAGATCTACGTCTTCTAGCAGGGGCCGGGCCCTTCGCTTCACCTCAAGGGGCCCTGAGCTCCTGTGTGGCACAGACCGGGCACTCCATTGTGCTGTGAGAATGAGTCCCAGCACTGCTGCCCAGCACTGGATGGCAGCAGGATAGCCAGGTCTTGCCTAGGCTTGGCCTGCGACCGTCGTGGGGTGGCATGGAGCCTTGCAGCTGCCTTCTGCCAAGGAGGAGGCCTGCTCCCCTGGAACCTGAGACATTGGCCAAATTGCTGCTTTCTTCTCAGTGTTGGGGCCTTCCACGGGCCCCCGTCTTTTGGCTCTCCATTTGTCCCTCTGCAAGAGGAAGGATGGAAGGGACACCCCGCCCACTTCATGCCTTGCATTTTGCCCGTCCTGCTCCCCACAACGCTCCAGCTTGGGACCTAAGGCCCCTTTTTCCTCCCAGACTCCTGTTGCAGGGCCTGGTCTGGGGCCTGAATCTCTGTCCTGTATCAGGGCCCCAGTTCTCTTAGGGGCTGTCCCTGGCTGCCATCACTGCCCATTCCTGTCAGCCAGGATGGATGGGGTATGAGATTTTGGGTGTTGGCCAGCTGGTGCCAGACTTTTGGTGCTAAGGCCTGCAAGGGGCCCGGGGCAGTGAGTACCCTCTTTTCTCTGACCTGTGCTCAGGCTGGCTCTTTAGTAATGCGGTCGGCCCAATTTGAGAACCGCCTTCTGATCCAAGAGGCTGAATTCAGAGGTCACCTCTTTGTCCCGTCAGCCCCAGACGGATGCCAGCACCAGGGCTGGAGGGAGAAGCAACTCACCCCTTCCCTTTCTTTCCAGGCCCTTAGTCCTGCCAAGCCCCAGCTGGGGGCCTTTCAGTGCCATTGACACTGCCCAAGAATGTCCAGGGGCAAAGGAGGGATGATACAGAGTTCAGCCCATCCTGCCTCCTCTATAGCCGTGGGCGCCCCAGTGCCTACCTTAGAAAGGGGCTTCGGGAAGGGATGTGCTGTTTTCCTCTGCGTGTCCAGTCCTAGCCTTGCTGTAGGACCCAGGGCTGACTTCTGAGTTTCTGGCCAGTCTTCAGCCAAGCTCTGTATTAGTCATGCACACACATACCTATGAAACCTTGGAGTTTACACTGAGTCGCCCTAGCTCTGGGCACCTTGGCCACCCTGGTCTTTGGATGCCCTCTGTCCCCCCTGGTCCATTCCAGATGCCAAGGATGGGGGGAGCTCAGGTGGGGCCTCTGCCTTGGGGATGGGAACATGTTCTACTCTCCCAAACTTGTTTCTATAGCTCTGCTCGGGCTGGGTGAGGAGGCGGGCCTGGGTCTTTTCTCAGAACTGTTTTATGTCCCCATGCTGTGGTTGTATTTCTGTTTTCTATGAATGAGTTTGCATTCAATAAACAACCAGACTCAGTTCTTGGGTCCCTTGTTTGCACTCCCTCTCTGGGTAGAGCTGTTGAGGATGAGGGGAGAGGCGGGGCCCTCCATTTCCCCTTTCTTCAAGCCCGGCCCCACTGGGAATTGCAGATCATTGATTCTCCCATTTTTCCCGTCCCTGCAGCCACAGCATTCATTCAGTAAACATTTACCAGGGACACTGAGCTGGGCAGAGGCCGGTTACTGGAAAAGTCTTGCCCATGCCATCCCACTGCAGACATCGCTCCTTACCTGCCCAGCAACAGCAGTCTCTGCCCACCTGCCCCCCCACCCACCAGACCGAGGCTCGATTCACCTCTGACCTGAGTGCCCCCCAGCTCACCAGGCCACAGTCCCAGGCAGTGCTCCCTGTTGGGGGGTTTATAATTGGCTGAGCATGCAGGCTGAGGCAGGAGGGTGAGGGAAGTGGGCAGGCTCCAAGAAGAGGGAATTTTGAAATTCCCTGAAAGATTCATTTAGACTTCAGTTGGCTAAGGGGGACATGATGTGGGGGCCAAGGAATCGGGTAAATTCAGGACACAACCAGAGGTCTGCAGGGTCAGGGATGGAGGAGTAGGCTTTCTTGTCGCTGGGCCCAGCTCCTCTTCCTACTCTTCCCCGAAGGCACCACTGGGAGGTGCTATGGCTGTGCCTCCCCGGGGCTTTGGAGCTGCTGGCCGAAGTGGGCAGAACTTCGGAGACAGGCTCCTCCTCTGCCAGGCCTGGCAGCTGCCTCCTACAGCCTTGCTTGGCTTGGGGTGGTGCGGGGTGTGGTAGTGTGTGTGTAGCAGAGAGTGTTAGGTCCTCTTTACCAGGCTACCAGGTGTCCTTGC